TTTAGGGGGTGGGGATTAAGTGTCACACTTGCTGATTTAGCATCCCACTAAACCCAGTTTCCGTACGTTTGAAGCCCCATTGGCAAGGGACCTAGGATCCTATGGACAGGTCATTGATACAGAAATTACCGGGGCTGGCTCTTCGTTGGTTCAGCACAGGAGAAGACTGGGAAGGGAAGGTGGCCCTGAAGCAGATCAATATGAGTAGCCAGGATTTTTTTAGTTCAGGGGGCACCCCTGCACACACAAAGTTAGCAGCCCAGCTTCCGCCCTCCCCTTCCCTGCAAGTCACACATGCTGAGACGGATACGAAGTGGAGATTCTTTCCCAGCTGCTCCATCCATGGAGGCCTCCCACCCACCCACCCACCCCACTAACCAGTACTGCAGGGTCACTCACCTACTGCACCATCTCCAAAAGTGGAAGCAATGTGGGAGGAGACAATTATTGAGCTGACACAAACAGCCCTGACTGATGAGGGGTAGGGGGTCAAGTGGCGCCCGAGTTTCAGGCAGAGATGCTGGGGATTGGCTCTGCTTGCTGCTGGCCACAAGTGCCCCCCACGAGGGCAGTGGCCCACCAGAACATTTCCCTGTAAGATAAATGGACAGTAAACCCCTTGGCACTGAAAGCTAGACTGTGACCTTCAGTATGTGTTCTGTGATGTCTATACATAACAGGGAAGTTTGGAAAGAAAAGGAGGGGAAAACTCCCTAGTAATGTTTGGCATGACGTTTACTGGGCTGCTTCATAGGGTCTCCCCAGACCATTGAAAGGGTCTCCCAGCTTTTACAGGGGCCAGAGGGGCTTGCTGATTTGTGGCTCCCCTTTCCTTTGCCCTTTGCAAAACGGCTATGTAGGATTTTGTGCAAGGCTTGCAACTGACTAATTGCCATTCAGCCTTTACCATTGTGTTTCCCCCACCCACTTCTGTCCGATGGGCAAACATCTGTGCCTTTTCTCCTTTCCACTAGGTCCTTTGATCACTGCAGCCATTGACCTTAATGAGGCAGAGAAAAGAAGCCATGGCCGTACCATACTGTGGCACTTATTCTGAGCCACCTTCCCTCCCCCCCCCATTTCCTGCAAGGAAGCTTCCTTTGAGATAGCCAACAGAAGGGAATGTGTTTTAAGCAGATGCACATTCTTAAGTTCAATATGACCCACTGCCTTATAATTTTTCTAAAAGATATACTTTGTAATTTTAAATTTCCATTCTTGGGAATATTGCCTCTAGATAACGCAGTGGTATCCTCATTTCTAGCTGCATTAAAACAAACCAGCAGGCGAAAGCCTTGTAGAGAATATGCTATAAAGAGGTATCGAAATTTCTTACACAACTTGTAAGGCTTTGCCTACTGAGCTAATGCAATATTGATTTGACCTGAACTGGATGAAACAGAGGTTTTTAGTCTTTCCTATATAAATACAGAGGATACTTAGACTTCTCTCTTTTTATTTCCAATTTCAGGCTTCCAGACCCGAGAATGACAATAAATTACTTAATAATGGAAATAAGGCACCCGCACTAAATTGTTCACTGTGCAGAAAACATCTTGACCAATAATTCACCCGATTATATGACTACCTGCTTAGCTAGAAAGTGTCAGTCTTTCTTGAAGGCTCCTATTAATCTTTCTTTGCCTTGTAATTTGCGAGCTAAGGGTCAAATGGATTTCAACATAGCAAATTTACTCTTGGCTGCTTAAATTGGAATTATAGAGTGGCTGGAGCCGATTTGAAGTCACTGATAGAAAGTGTATTGTATTTTGCCACTCACAATATTTGGAATTGTTCTGACAGCTTCAGTCTAAAATCGGATGATTAAGAGCGGTTTTTCCCCCCAAAAAAATTCCTGGCTCAGGGATTAAAATCATGGCAAGAATAAATTACATGGAACACCCCCCCAAAATACTGTTTGTGTTTTGCATCATTCGTTCTGACTGAAAATCCATTAGCTAAGTACTTTCAATGAACAAATGTAATACAGCCAGAGGTAAGCTCCATTGATTTCAATGCAGATTTATATACATGCTTACTTCTCCCATTGAAATCAGTGGATAGAAGTGCTTATGTGAGCATACTGTTTCGTGTGTGCAAAGGTTCCCCAGTATCTTCCGGGGACAATAAATTACTCTAGGAGATCCTGCGTGAATGAGGAATACTGCCCTTCTTGGAAGAAAAAGAGAAGCTTTTGTATACACAGGGGTTTGGATTACACCCATGGTGTTCCAAAGGTTAAACAGTCAGCGGGACACTTGATGCTTTTACCCAGCAAGACACAGATCAGCCAAACCCATTTATTTGAATGGGATGGCACATTGAGCATGGCTGGGTTTATATGTCCCCACATTCGTTGGATATTTATTGTAACTCTGCATGCAAGAGGAACTGGGAGGGAAAGGGTTACGAGAATTCTTTCACTCAGGTACACTTGGCAGTTGACCCTGCCGTCTCATTGGTTAGATGGTGAGCCTCTTTGGCCCTTGCTTGTCTTCTGTTTTGTCTTATAGAGGGTCCCTCTTCTGCTCTCTCTTACCTGGGCTTGGAGCTGTAGCAAGTTAACCTTTTTGAAGTTAATCTGTTCACAATAAGTTAAATGTACCTACATGAGTATGTCATGTAAGACGTGGGTCTATTTTTGTAAATAAAATTTCTTTCTCTAGTTGCCATTGGAGTCAGATCATCTTTGTAATTTGTTTGAACAACATTTCCCCCTTTACTGGGAAATGCGGAAGATCGGGGATACTGTGTAAAGCTTCTGTGCGTCCAAGGCAAATGTTTGTGTTGTTGTTGTTTTTTACATTTAACTCAATAACCTTTTCATTGCTGTGCAATGATGTGACTTGCATCAAGTGGATCCAGGCTCAGCAAAACGCCCCTTATATTCCAGAGAGATATGGAACAAATCCACATCTGTAGAATATTCTTCCTGTCCCCCACACACTCTAAAACGAATATGCAAAAGTTAGGCTAAACTAGGGTTTATTAAATAACACCTGAACCACATCTTCCCAACGCTTTAGTGAGAGTTCCCAGAAGGCGCTGACATCAGCGTTGCCTGCATTTGGACAGTCCCACCTTAGCTTCAGACATGAGGGTTGCCAGCTCTGGGTTGGGAAATATCTGGAGAATTTTGGGGGTGGAGCCTGAGGAGGGCAGGGGATGGACTTCAATATGGTATAACGCCATAGAGTCCACCTTTCAAAGCTGCCATTTTCTCCAGGTGAACTGATTTCTGTTGCCTGGAGAGTAGTTGTAATCCCAGGAGATCTCCAGCCACCACACGGAGGTTGGAAACCCTATTAGATACACTTTTCCTTGCTTACTCATAAACCTATGCTGCAAGAAGTGGACCATCACCACCATCCCCCCAAGCTCATCGACATAAAAATTCAAATGATGCTGCCAGCACTAAGGGAGATCCCTCCCCAGTCCCCTGGGTCTGGTCAGCCATGAATGGGTAGCTGGGATGATTCCCTCCCCCCAGGCCTCAGATCCCTCAGCATGCTTAGCCTAGCTTAACCTAGTTAAACGTCAAGCACCTAACCCACATGAATACCACCAATTGCCTGGTGAAGGCCTAGCCAACTCCCCCCCCCCAGGATCAGGCCTATTTAATCAGCTAGCCCCTGAAGAACAATGTAGAACAGGTGAAACAAAATCCTGGTCAGTGCCAGTTGGAGACAGAACTCAGAATATGTAAGTTCAGCTCCACTGAAAGGTAGGCTGGGTGGGCACTCGCACCGTGTAAGCTTAATGCAGAGGGACAGGCCTTGAACAGACTTCCCTTTGACCCCTCCTATTGGCCAGGAAGCATGAGGCAGCTTGCCTGGCTCCTGCCTACAATATCTCTGAGCCTCACAGGGGTAGAATCAAAAGTGGCACCTGGGGTGTGCCTCTGAAGAAATAGTACCTTTTGTGATATATGATAAAATAACTATGCCTCATAATGTGTGTGCATGAAGTAGCATTGCCATGTCCCTTCGAGATGCTAGTGGGGGGATGGGGGAGACACTCCAGGAGCTGGAAGTGTCACCCCAAACGTGCCAACGTCACTGTAAGTGTCGGAGGCAACACTCTGGTTTTTGGGCAAAACTCTGTAATAAAATTGGGCTCAAACCATAGAGTTTTGCCCCCCAAAACAGAGCATCACCCCTCCCCAAGTCACCAACGTGCCTATGTCACTTATGGGTGACATAGGCACATCGCTAGCCTCCATGTGCTGTTGGGGGGGATTTACTCCTGCCAGCCAGCTGGCCAGTGGCAGGCAGGAAACCAAAAAAGCAGCGGATCCTTCACTCTGAACTGAGGACTGGCACCCCTAGCATGAAGCTGTCTTATACTGAGTCAGACCAATGGTCTACTAGGGCCAGTATTGTCTGTTTTGAGTGGCAGCATAGTTCTGGGGGGAGGGGTCACAAGTCCAGATCTTTTATGACACCTGCTGCTAGATACTTTAAACTGGAGATGCCCAGGGTTGGACCTTGTATCTTGTTCATGCAAAGCAGAAGCTCTACCCATGAGCTAGAGCCCCACCCTAGTGAATTCTACCACTAAAATGTTCAAAGCACACACTTGGTTTCCCTAACCTCTGAACCGGACCTTTTCCCTTTAACAGATGCTCTCTGTGCAAATAGTAGCAGAAGATACTGTTAATCTTGCCCTGACCCAGCTCACCCAGACTAGCCCATTCTCATCAAATCTCAAAAGCTAAGCAGGGTCGGTCCTGGTTAGTACTTTAATGGGGGACCACCAAGGAAGTCCAGGGTTGCTACGCAGGTATAGACAATGGAAGCCACCTCTGAACATCTCCTGCACTGAGAAACCGACAGGGTCACCATAAATCAGCTACAACATAATGACCCTTTCCACCACCAATGTTAATCTTCATGCTTTACCTGTTGGGTTCTGTGGATCAAGCTACTGTTAAAGGTACAAGACCCGGCCCAGTCCCCTCCCCCCATCATGCAGCTGGCAACCTTATGATGTGTGAGTACATACAGAAAATATGGAGTAAAAAATACTTAATGCACAGAGAAATTAGTGAAGTCCCTGTAACACTGATCACCGAGATGGTGCTTAAAATCATATGCAGTCATCTTTTAAATGCCATTTGAGGCTCCAGTAGGCATTCCATAGTTAAGATTCAAAGAAACATTGTGTGATGAATATGCGTCATTCATTGCGCCAGCTCTGTGTGGCGTGCCCTGTTTTTCCCCTTGAAAGTCATCAATGGTTGGCAGTCAGTCAGGCTACACTTGCACATAACTTTTGCCTTTGGCAAAAGCATTTTTTTTAAGTGTCTCCCTTCTGCACAGAAAAACTATATTCACAACTCTTTTTGCTTTACTGGTTACTACAACCTACTGTGTTGCTTAAATTTTCTCCCCCCAAAGGGGTTCCTCTCTTGTTTCATGGTTGTTTCCAAGATTTATGATTTATTTATTGGACATATAGACAAGTTCTAAGAGTGGGTAACAGCGCACTAATTGTTCTGCTCTATCCCTTTTTATTCCTAGCCACCAAAAATAAAAAGGTCTTAAACCACTTTCAGAAAACATATACACTCTTTGCTTTGTACCACTGCAGGGTCTCTTGACACAAAGAATTCCAGAATGGAAGGGTGGCTATCAAGTGTGCCTCTCTGCCTGTCCGCGCAGATTGGAACTTAGCACAGAAGGCATTCCGGGTCAGTCTTAAAGCTCATGGTGGTACACACAGGTTCAAGAAGTCTCTTAGGACTGACCGGACCAGGCCGGTTAAAGCTTCGTGGGTAGTTGCTTGGAAAATTTTCCTGATTCTTTTTAACCATTTAGGGTTGTTGTGAGATCTTAGGTTCTGGCCCTGAGCCACATTTGAGGCTTGTCTTGATGGCTTCTCTCATACTCCTACGCATCCCTGTATGCACACAGTGGCTCTTACTGGCCTCAAAACACCATTCTCTGCCAATACAAGTTACAATTCTGCCCCCCCCCATCTAAAACAGACAAAAATAAACCCTGCTCCCTGCACTGAGAAAGTTAGCACTGGGAGGAAAAGGATCATCCTATTACATGACATGGGCAGAGATTTGTGGCATGGATTCAATATGAATTGCCCTAGTTTGAGCACTTGGGAATGTGCCATATATAGGAACAGGGATGCAGCCAACCCCTCCCCCCTCCACCTGCACTGTAGCAGATGGGCCCAGAGAAAACTCAGTCTGTATCAATCACATCTCAGGTGTCTTGCTCCCCTCCCTTAGCCTTTAAGGGCCTTACTGGATAAAAAGGTAGAACTGAGGTGAGAAAGAATATCTTGGGCTTCTCTTCTATTGCAGAGAGGTCCAACCCTTTTTGAAAGGCCACCACCTGGCCATCTGTATGCATGGGAATAAGTGGCAATCCTACTCAACTCTAGACCGTACTTAGCACTGTGTGATTTCCTACGCCTTCCCAACCCAGAGCTGGCAACCCTAGTTCAGAAAGCACCAGTCCTCGATTTGGGGTTGCCGTGGTCCCCTTGAAAAGACACACTAGAACATCTATAGGTATACCACCCCCCCTTAATCTTTGATGTTTTCCAGGGCCAAAAGTCAGCTGCTTTTGTAAAGAGACCAGGCCCCATGAGGTCTACTCTGTGTGTTCTGTCATCATTATTCTCGTTACTGTTCTTTAAAATTAACATTATTCTTATTTCTGTCTTCATCCCAAGCACTGTTTTAGTAGGAAAAGCAGTCTGTTATTATGTCTTCTGTAACAAATATTAAATAATGACAAATGCTGCAAGATGATATTTCATATGCCTTACACATGTTAAATCAAGCACGCTTTCAAAAGAACCCACGGAAGAATCTGCCAAGTAAGTAGTTACAGGAATACGTGTTTTAACTGTCACAACCCCAATTTCTATAGTTTAAACAAAAGATGTTTTAAATCCAAAGTTACACTGGAACAATTATGGCACTTTCTTATAATGGCTTCAATTCAGTCATTTTCTTGAACCCAGAAAATTAGTACTTTAGGGGGCAAAAACCTTGACACTAATCCCTTTGAAAATATATTTCAAATAATTTGGCTGATTGGTCTTTTTTCTCCACACTTCAGCGAAAAGCAAAAGTTGTACAGGAATTAACACTGGGAAGCCCTGAGCTGTGGAGAAAAGCCTATTATTAAATGTTCAAGCATAGTTAGGAAACTGTTCCAGGACTGTTCTAATAGACAGGTTGAATACTGGATAATCCTTCAGTCATTCTCTTGCCTCTTCTATTGTTATTTACCAGAAGGGGGCAGGGCCATGGCTCAGTGGCAGCACATCTGTTTTGTATGCAGAAGTTCCCAGGTTTAAACCCCGGTATTTCCAGTCAAAACAATCAGGTAGTAGGTGAAGTGGGAGGGAAGGCAGCAAGGTACAGCCTGATCTCATCAGATTGTGGAAGCTAAGCAGGATCAGTAGTTGGAAGGGGGACCACCAAGGAAGAATCAGGGCAATGGGAAACCACCTCTGTTTCTCAGTTGCCTCAAAAGCCCCTTGCTGGGGTCGCCATGAGTCGGCTGCGACTTGATGGCACTTTACAGAGCGAAAGACCTCCCCCTGAGATCCCGGAAAGCTACTGCCAGGAAGCAATTTTTCTCCAGGCCAGTTTGGCTGGAGACCGTGGAGGGTTTTTTTGTCATCTTCTGGGCGTGGAACAGTCCCTGGGGGTGTGGGGGAGGAGGTATTTGTGGACTTCCTGCATTGTGCAGGGGGTTGGCCTAGATGACCCTGGAGGTCCCTTCCAACTCTACGATTCTATGATTCTACTGACCTTGATAGACCAATGGCCTGACTCAGCAGAAGGCAGCCTTATGTATGTGTTCAAAGAACCACAACAAACTATTTAGTCCCCCAAACAAACTAACACAAACAGTAGATTGTACTGTGTGCACCCTGAGGGAGGTGCTCAACCCGAGAAAAACCCATCACAGTGTTGTGTTCCACTAAGCCCATCACCAGGGCCGGCCCCAGCTTATTTTGCACCCTAGGCGAGGATCCCTTCTGCCCCCCCCCCCCGTGCGCCCACCATTTTTCAAAAATAAATGCATTTTAGGAAGAATGAAAAACACAAATAATCAAGAAACTTCCAGAGTACGGGGCCGGGTTCAGTTTGGCGCCCCTAAGGGTCATCCTGCTCTAGGCGATCGCCTAGTTCGCCTAGTGAGTGAGCCGGTCCTGCCCATCACAGCTGCAATCTTTGCTTACCCGCTCTATTAGTATAGAGGCAAAATAAATCTTTAGAGCCTGCTATCAGGCAGATTTTACTAAAAATGATCAGTTGAAGCTTTGATGAAACCAATATGTTTATCGATGCACACGTATCTCATGACAGAATTTGGTACATGGGCTACTCCTAGAGTAGAACTGGAGGTTATCAGAAATACAAGGCTGGTCCCAGAAACACAAGCCCTGTGTTGAATTCCTCTTCACTGGATAGGATCATTCAAGGTATAAGCTTTTGTGTGCAAGTACAGTTCTTCAGAATAACTGTGCTTGCGCACAAAAGCTTATACCTTGAATTAAACTTTGTTGGTCTTAAAGGCGCCGCTGGACTCAAACTTTGTTCAGGATATAAAGCAGTGCAACCAGACAGCATAAAACAACCACTGGGCAATGCAATAGGACTGGGAATTACAAAATCAGAGCCAGACACAACTGTCAAACTCTTCAGACATATTTCACATACAATACACTGAACAATTACAGAGTATTCTTTTATCTCTTACTTATAACAGCCTTTGCTAAAATCAAGACAGGGCCCTTGTAACATGATATAAATGTATGCTCAATGACAATTGGCTCTATGTGGTATACTGTGGAATTATGCAGCTCGTTCCCCCCCCCTTACCTTCAGCGAATCCATCCCATATTTCTAATCTGTCATAACGGCAGAACATTCCCCCTGGAGGATTTGAATCTGGCTCCAGTTCAAAGCTTTCAAATTCCAGTATGATCTCGGACATCTTTGGTGCAAATATAATGTAAGTGCATTCAAGGCCATTGGGATATTTTTCAGGGAATCCGGGCGATTTGATCACCCCGCTCATTGATGTAAAGTTTCTGGAGCATTCTTGTCCTGTGGAACAAAAGGAACAAATAAGAACAACATGCTGACTTAAGTGTGATTCCGGTTAGCTAGGAAAACAAATTAGGCCATTTTATCTTTCCAAACCGCAGACTGGCTTTTTGGTGAAACACCTCACTTTAATCACCGTATTAATCATCTGGCTAGCTTGTTCCTGTTATTGATAATTGATATTAAAATGCAATTCACATTTATTCCATGATCTCCAATTTTCCATTTGTTACAGAGTACTTTAGGGGGGGAAAGGGGGTGGGAGAGAAAGCTTGTTCCAGCTCCAAAGGGGGGGGGGGGGTGGAATTATGACAAAAGTATGTCGGAACAATGAAAAGTGTGAGCTGCAGAAATCTCGACAGCCCTAGGGAAATAATTATAGCCCCTTCAAGCTTAAATCTTTAAATCTTAAAGTTGACAGCCTTTTATTGGTGAAATAGGACATTTTTTTTGCAAGAAGAGGGGAGTGAATTCGATAGATGGAGCAGAGGTTTCGGATTCCTAGAGCCCTGCCTCTGTAACTGTGCCAGATGTGACCTATGCCTTCTCGACAAACTAGATGTGAAAGGTAATTCGTACTCATACCGAGGGTGACTGACTGGTTCTGAGCGGTGTTGACACAGGTGCAACAGCAAAGCGTTCCTGTTAGTGAAGACATGATAAACTGTGTGATTACAGGCAACATTGCTGGAAACCAATTGATATCAATGTTGCTACACCACTCTCACCCACTACACCAATTGTGGTGTAGCCTCTGGTGTGCCACAAAAATGCTCACATGCCAGAATAAGGGGCACTGCCCACAAGTCTTGTCTTGCTGTATTGACACCAGAAGATGGTTGATATTTGCAAAACATCCTTCACCTTAATCTATCTCACTGTTTATCACGGGGCTGATTTTCTTAATAGCTGATGGCATTTCTATTTTTCTAAGCTTCAGTGGGCTGGGTTGGGGGTTTTTTGGTGTTACATAAAACAGATTCAGGCTGCTGTCACACACACAAAATAATCCAGTTTCAATCCACTTTTAATGCACTTTACAACTGGATTTTACCGTGTGAACTGGCAAAATTCAATTCAAAAGTGCATGGAGAGTGGATTGAAAGTGGGTTATTTAGTGTGTGTGATCACCGCCTTAATTGTTCTCATTAGCCGCTCTCACTCTGGTCTGCATGTTGAGAAGGCTTTTGTGTGAGTGAGGCTTTTGCTGGACAAGTAGCTGCAATTGTAAATCAGGCACGCATCAAAGTGAAGAAGTAATCTGTCCCCACACTTGGTGGGTTGCACATTCAGATGAGCATGGAAATGCAAGCCCACATCCACATGTTGACATGAATTTGCTATCTGTATGCAGTCTTTGGAGCTGCGGTGGCTCAAGTGGTTAAGACGCTGAACTGCAGGCTGTGGAAGGTCAGTAGTTCAGCAGTTCGAGAACCGGGTGCCGCATGATGGAGTGAGCTCCCATCTCTAGTTCCAGCTCCTGCCAACCTAGCAGTTCGAAAGCGAGAAATTGCAAGTAGATAAATAAGTACCACTTCGGTGGGAAGGTAACAGCGTTCCGTGTGCATTGGCGTTTAGTCATGCCGGCCACATGACCACAGAAACGTCTTCGGACAGCGCTGGCTCTTCGGCTTTGAAACGGAGATGAGCACCGCAACCCTAGAGTCGGATTCGACTGGCTTTCGAGCAAGGGAACCTTTACCTTTATGCAGACTTCACTGACATTAATGGAACGCAGACAGGCTGCTTTTTCATTCAAATAGGCATTGAAATGTACATTTGCTTTGCACGAAGTGTTCCAGATCTGTGCGCAGAAGCCTGCTTCTATGCACTGATCTCTTTCACTTCTTTCCCTGGACTGCAGCTATTGCTATGGTAACAGAAACAAACAAAGAAAAAAGACACAAGAACATAAACTGAGGACCAAACTACATTTTACAATACATGTGAGTCTGCCAAAGGGATTCACAGCCATTTTACAGGTACGGCTATATGGTAAGAATTCCATAAAATATGTGCATGCAAAGATTCAGGGCACATGAAGCCCCTCCCTCATGGGGCAAATACCCGTCTGGTGCTGTTCTGGCATGGAAAGAAAGCAGGAGCTCCTCCTCTGCCCATGCCACGGCCCTGATCTTTATTGGTCCCCTCTGGCTCTTTTAAATGGAGTTCTCCTTGGGAACTCACAGCTGCAATATGGCCAAGGTGGACTTGCATACATTATAACATGTAGTTTGGCCCTAAATTCTGTTATTTTAGTGCAATTAAGCAACAGAAGGAGGTTTATTCATTTATTTATAAAACTAGTTCTTGATCTTGGTACAGTTTATGGTTTGAACTGAAGAAGGCATAAGATTCCCAAGCCCTTATCTGACTGATGGGCATATGCTTTCATAAACCTGGCTGGTAATCAACCCAGGATGGTATATATTAATTGTACAACACCCTGTAGAGAAAGATTAGAGGATGCAATTTCTGGGGATCAGGAGGGGAGCCTAAGACTGTGAGGAGTCAGGAGGTGGGGCTTGTCAATTTCATTAAGGCCCCCCTACATTTTCTCCTATAATTTGAGCGCTTGCTTTTGATTGACATCACAGTCTGGGCTATTATTGACACTATTGCTGCACTTTACATTTGCAGAGATTTACAAGTCTTTTTTCTTATTTGTCTTCAGAACTCCAAAAGGAAGTTCCTATTATTCTCACTTTACAAATGGGAAACTTGAGTGTGATTCCCAAAGCTGCCTACTCTGTGAATTTTTGGTTGAGTTATTTTCTGCCTTTCTATACTTTTGTAATTCCAGAGAGATGCATAAGGAACCAGAAATTGTTCCTGGGAGCTTTCTGAGTGATTCGTCTGCATGTTGATTGTGTACGAAACACAGTACTGTTATGGTTTCATTCTGGGTGGCATTGGAAAATGCAAATGTATCTAGAGTAAAGTAGCTGTGCCATTTGATGGGCTCTTGGCTGAAATGCTTTGAAAACATGGCCCAGTGTCACATCTTGGCTCACCCTACTGCTCTATTCTAGTCTATTCTAGCTGCAAAACACGAAGTATGCTATTAAATGGCCAAATGATCCAAGAGATGAGGGATTTGCACATCTTATAAAGAAGAATATGTGAGAATTGCATTAAAAGTGTTGTCTACGGAGCTCAGAATGAATTAATGAGAACGTTGTAGAAGCCTGAGAATAAAAATATGGCAGCAGTGGCTAATCTTTTTCTTTCAGAGGAGGGCTGCAAATGTACCAGTTGCTAATCCTAATGTGAAGTACAACATATATGCACCTCCCAAGCCGTGGTGTA